AGTCCCCGCAAGCATGTGATCTCTTCCCCTGCTGCGCTTATGAAATTGAAAATGAGTGAAAAAGTACCAAAGAAGTAAGTTTATGAATTTTCTTATTTGTTGCCTCATTACAAGCTATAAAAGTTCGACCTATTTAAAGAAAACAACCGAATGGTACTAGTCATACTTCTCTGAAGTCATACTTCTCTGAAGTAATCATGTGTCAGGAATTCAAAAAGAACTATCAGCCAGATTCAATGACATGACCTCGAGAGGCTCTTCCATGCGCGAGGAAGAGGATGGGACTTACCAGAATCGCCAGTGACCTAGTCCGCTTGAAATATGGGAGCGACACCAAGTAGCAAACAAAATCCTGATGAAGTGGCTGTTGATGCCTTTTTTCTTCCATGTTTTCTTCATTCTTGTGATACATTTGGTAAATAACAGATCCAAAAATTGATATTACTCCGCGACTTTTTGCAGATCGCCAGCAAATTAGTTAGGTCATTAGTGTGAAGTCCTCGATGTTTTCAAGACTTCCGACCATTACTGACCACTTCTGGCATTTACTAGTGACTACATTTTGCACCCCCTATCATTTTTGTCATTTTCAGGCCAAAACAATTACCACGCAAAAGACGCACAAAAATACCGCCTCGACAAACAACAGGTTTCTTTTTTCGAAAAATCCCAGCGGAATTTCTGCAGGCAGTACTCAATTAAAAGCTAAACTCCGTTCATTCACTCTCTGCGAGAAGAGGATGCACTCGGATGTGGCTCGATTGGCAGGCAAGTGACAATAACAGCCTGATGCTGTAAGGCTGTCGATGGCCTTTTCTTTCAGTGCTTTCTTAGATCACGCTGATGACGAAAAACCTAACACATTTTTATTTCCAGGAACCTCGTTATGGTCCTTCCTGAAAAATGCATTGGGCAAGGAATTATCACGGATACCGCTACCAGTGGACTTTAATGAACCGCTAAGCTTTATACAGCGCCTTACGGAATGTTTAGAATATGCAGAGTTAATTGACAGGGCAGCAAAAATTTCAGATCCGGCCGAACAGGTGAGCAAGAGATGAATTATTTCTCATAAACGTGGGGAGCATAAAGCTAAACGGGAGGCAAGCAGCTTAAGATCGAAGGACCTAGAACAGCTACATTCCAGTAACATTACAAATAAGGAATCCCCATGTCGAATGTCCAGCCGTCTTAGTAGTGTCGTTACGTGTGATTCAATCATTTGTACACAAAGATTCAAAAAAAAAAAAAAAATCTAGTGGATGGGACGTGCGTTTGCCCTGATAGCAGTTTGTAAATGTCGAGATGCAGCAAGGAAAGAAATGACCAAACGAGTGTTCTGCAGAAGAACAGGCACGAGGACGGCAAAAGCCGGCCGGTGACAAACGCAGCCTTAGTTTAGCTCTAATTGGCAGTACGGGAGATCTTGACC